GAGCGCAACTTACACAGGCGTGAAAAAAAATGAGAACGACAGTAAGTTTTCCGGATGTGCCAAGTATGTACCAAGGAAATGCGATGGAACATAACCGTGCATAGAAAGAGCTAATACTTCACTTTACAAGGAGCAGATTACAGGAACCCTTGGTAGGTTTACAAAGTTGATAATAGTATTTTGCTTCATCTTTCCCGTTCTTATTTCATGCAGACCTATGTAATTGGGGATGATTACCTCTTACGGAACTTTCACAGTTTTCGTTACTAATCCAAGGAGCCTCCAATTTCACGTACCGGTATCTTTGGCTGTTGTGAATAGATCCATGCCCTCCCTTCAGGTTCATCACGATCACTTTTGTATCACTACTTTTACAGTAAACAAAAAAGGTACAGAATGAGCGCTTTTGCTATCAAGCTTATGGATCCATATTGATTTGCTCAAAATGGCTATCATTGGTTTTGCAAATCTCGTTCACAATATTTTACTATTTCGGATGTTAGCATGCAACCAAAGCAGCGGAGCACGTTTGGAATCCAAAAATTTTGTCAGCTGTAGCAGTGTTTCGAAAGTGTACAGCTTTTGAGTTCAATTTTTGTAAATCTATCCTTATGTGGAGGCTTTTAAGTGCGCAATGTTGGAATGAATTCAGTCCAGTTAACCCAACAAATCTCCTCCTGAAGAGGTTTGCCCTAACCATTCGGTGCTTCTTTCAGTACTTTTTGTAAGTAAAGATGCATGAGGGGCCGGTGGTGCGATACCAAGTGGCGCTACTTACCGCGAGCGCGTCCGGGGATCAAATCCTGGGTCGTGAGTCGCCCGGGCCAACCAAGCCTTCCATCCCTCCGGGGTCGGTTAATTGGTACCAGACTTGTCTGGGAGGATAAAAACACTGACTTGTACATCGGCTGGCCCCCGCAAGTCATTGTATAGGCCACATCGCATTCAAACTGCATCTGCCCGGAATGGAAATAGAATGCGTGGCGCATACCAAAACGGGATTGGTCAAGGCTGAGCTTGTTCTTTAAATTTTTTATTAATGTATCGTAGGAAGAGTGTTTAACACCCTATTCGTATCGGCTCAGAGAATCGCCTATCTGTGGAATCCTAGCTATTAGTTCCCCCTACGAGTAAAACAGTACTTTGTGATTGATTACTGATTACTCATGATTACTCAAGTCCCGCACCAAAGGCTAGAATTGATCTTTTTCTGTGTAAAAGTTGCTCTCAACATCAGTTTCATAAACAGCGGGCGAGACGGTGACGAGGAAGTGTGGCCGTTGCAGAGGCGCCGACAATGCAGGGCGGGGGCTATAAGAAGCGACCTCGCGTGCGGCCATCAAGACGGCCAGCAGTGTCGAGATGTGGCGACGTGTGCTCATCCTCAGCCTTCTCGCGGTAGCAGTTCAGGTATGTGTTTTGACTTTAGTAGGGCTACTGACTAGTAGAAGTTTACTATCACCGCCTGAAGATAGTTTTAATGCTGTTTTTAAATCGGAATTTGACGCCATCAATTCAACACTTGCTCTCACCTAGAAGCTGATCAGACGAGTGAAATAGTTCAAGCTCTTTTCTCTGCCGCTATGATTTTCTTGACATAGCCCATTCTTTCGATATATAGTATGCGAAGATTTTGTGGTGGATGTAGCTTTGTTTATGTGTCTGCCTAGACCACGTTAGGGCAGCTCGAGAAGATTTTGCCGTATTTTGCATTCCTCATCTCGAAGCTAATCCTAAGAAATAGCACTAGGTGATCATCGAACTCATCAGCGCACTCGTCCCATACTGGCCTTGTTTTGTCAATTCATGGGAATTTTATTTATTTATTTGATGCACGCATAGGTCCGCTATGTCATAACCAAAAGAATGCCACATATCCCAAAGAAGTTTAACGACCTTAACTCGTTGGGATTGGCAATTGTGGGTCATCAAGCACTTCTCCATTGTGAAGACCATAGGTCTGTTGAGCTCCTTTAATTGTTGGTACTTCTTCTCCAATAGTATTCTTCCAAGAGTCATCGACCTCCCTCCCCTGCTTTGTAGTCCGCAAAGTTTTCTGCGCGAGGAGTCGGACCGCAACGGTCAGCGAAAGTGAGATCGAGCCGGTGCTTGCTTCGGACGATGTTGAAACCTTTTTTTTTGGAGTGAAGCGACGGAAATATTCAGAACAGATTAGTCAAGTTTACTAGATATAAGATCTATAGTTTCTACAAGTTATATAAAAGAACGGAATTAATTTCTAGGAAACAACGGCAGGTAAGTGAAAGTTTACAGAGTTTTTCGTTTTTCTCTATCTCAACATAGCGATGTGTTATTCATTAATCCCTCAACTGCTGAGAGAGAACTGGCGCAAAAATGAAATTTATTCCGACACGTGAAGCAAAAGTAAAACGAAACAGCTTGTGGCCGGCCGTGGTTCACATAACTTCGCTGGTGAATTGCTTTTTCCTGCAATTCTGGGCTTGCTAAATCTCTTTCGAAATCGATTTATATGGCCACTTTGAATGTGATACGAATGAAATTTGATCCTGGAGATAATGTTAGTTTCTGATTGATGGCGGGAAGCTGTGAGTCATCTAGTCGATTTTGGATAGATCGCTACTATTAGGCCACCCCTCTACAAGCACCTGGCACTTAGGCAAACATAACTACGGCTTTCAACCTTGATTCTTTACCCTTACACTTGGGCTTACGTTTGGTTGTTCAACACTGAAGCTTACATGATACGTAGGGATTTTGCATGGTATTGGTGTGAACGCTTGGACGGAATTTGTTCTCTATAGTAGTCCTTTATTGTGTCTTCTATTTCATGTAACCAACTTTAGACCAAGAAACCAAAATTCCAGTGTACACGTGAAACGAATGCACGGCGCATTCCTTGAGCGCCTTGGAGACTCCTGCTCATCATATCATCACCATCATGTCATTTTTTTGACCTTTGACCCCACTCAACTCCGAGCTCAGACTAGAGAGACTTCCTTCCTCTCACTCTTTCCTCACCCCTTCACCTCCTCGCTCCAAATCCAATGAATACGGTCGAGAAGGAGAGCTGAAGCTGCTACCCACCGATATCCGGAAACTCTTTGTGTCATCCAGGCGAATTCTATCTTTTGGCGGTTACGGTGGCAAATATGATCGATTGGCAACTGAATTGGTTTTCCATCATTCTTTATACAGCAAATATTTACCGAGTTGACATCACGCGCGCTCACAACTTGATTTGCCTATTTTTCTGCACTTCCTTATTGTTGGCACAACATGTCGAATCGCCACCTTAAGTCTCTCTGGTTGTGTGGTAGGGATGACGCATGAAGTCATCTTCAAGTCTTGAAGTTGCTTAAGAAAATTACTGAGAATGAGGTAATCTGTCTGCTTTTTAGAAGCGAAAGGTCTGGATAGGCTAGAATCACAGTTTCACACGGCTGTAGAGGATTAGGCATACTTTTTGTTTATCAAATCTGTATTGATGTTGATAAGTATAGTGGTTATCATTCCACTCAAGGAAACACCAATTTCAGAGCGCCACCCGCCGTGATGCTGGTGTTGCGGTCGGCTTCCGACCAAACTGTCACCCAAAACCGATGGGTGGTTGCAAATGTGACATCACTGAAGGAGATCTGAACACAGAAATCGAGTTCGACAACAATGAGGATTGCAAAAAGCCGCTTGAAAGTTAGTTTTCTTCTGAACTATTCAAAGTGAGCATATTAAAGACAGATCCCAACTCTGAAAAAAAACCGTAAGCTCTGAGCTTCAACCTTTTGACGTCAATGCAGATTTGCACGTAACGTGCTCGTGGGACCACGCCTGTTTTTGACGCGCCCAACTCTCGCTCAACATGGGCAAAATTGTCTCTGAAAGCAGTTTTTCTATCAGATTTTTGACTTCCAATGCACTAAATATAGCTGCAGTCTTAAAATTCCACATTATATTGCTGGTAGAAAATTTGGAAGTTTGGTAGGGGAAATCGGATTTCAAAGGGATGGAAGGTCAAAACTCTTGAAATTTATGCGTACAGTGGAATTTTTGATATAGTTCAAATCCCTCCATGTGTCTGAAGACGGTAAAATGGCAGAGAACAAAATTTTAAGGTGGCACCCAACCCTAAATGCCATTGTCGCGCCAAATTGTTGAAGATGGTAAGCTCTTCAGCTTCTCGGAGCTTCAGACTACTCCAAGAATATTGCTTCAGCAAGAATCATTTATGCAAATCAGTTTATGTGTATGTTGAGGAACATGGCAACAATCAGAGCACAATTTGAGTCACCGTGGTTCGATTCCTTGGCAAAAATCGCCACATTTCACGGCGGCTGCACGAAGCGCCGCATATTTTACCGCGCATCCCACTCGCTCAACGTTCTTGCTGAAGATCGGAAATTGAATGAGCCGCATGCCCGAACCACCACACCTGCGCTCCTCAGGATTTCATACTCTCTTTTTTCCTCAGCAGGGGAGTCGCAGGGCCTAAATAGAGTTCAATACCGGGTTCATAACAAAAAAGGGAGACGAATTATGCTGCGATTTTATTTGTAGTATAGTCTGATGGGCTTATGGTTGTTAGACTTCAGACCAAAAAATATTCACAACCTCCAAGGGACTCGGTGTATTTCTCAGATGGTGGTTACGTTTTACCGCTTTTTAGGGCAAGCTTTCGCCACACGACACGGCTCTTTCCAAACATGAAATGTGTGTAATAAGTAATAAAATGATACAAACGGCCTCGTCATGGATTGATCTCATCTTGGAGTGCGGGCCTAGCATCATGCCTGACTGAGTACGTGGAAGTGGTTACTTGTGAAGACAAGACCGCTACAAGACCGTGGTTTTTCGAACGCCGGCGAAGCAGCGTCCAAGTATCAAAATAACTAGGCCTCAAGTTCCCCTCAAGTTAAGTCTAGTACAGTGAATTCGGTCATGGATTTGAGCCTGGACCAAGCTGGACAAGCGCTGCCACCTGCCATTATACCACCTCCGCTCACTATTCAATGGATATATCTAAACACAATCAAGTTCAGTTACTGGCCTGCTGTCTTAGGCTGGTGCCAGAGTCCACGATCCCTGCATAAGGTTGCGGAAATCGCAGAGAAATCAGACGAGAACCTGGGCAACGATCGCGAATTCTGACACCAGTTTTACTTTATTTTCCTATACCCTTTATCCTGTGTAGTGGTGAAGTTCAGGCAATTAACATAACGCTTCATTATCCAGTGTGAGGAGTGGGAGGATTACTCAGGGCAACTCACTTTTACTAAGCGGCCATCCGATTTTCTTTATGTAATGTGGTGATCCCGATTGTGGCGCCGACGCCAAAGATGCTTCGATAGCAATACTGGTATGCTAAGCTTGCGCGGTCCTGATGACTATGAGAACCGCGCCCGGAGACGCATCACATCCATACATATACATCTGTAGTATCTCTTAGCGATCGCCAGCTACCTCTATCTATAAGCCGAGGCACATGGTGTGTGGAATGGATGGGATGCAATTTGACAATTAATGGATCCTAAGTGAGTCCTGCGGCCGCGGTGCGTAAGCAGAACTACCTCGTTGATGCGGCGTAGTAGGAGGGAAAAAGATTGCACTGAGGAGGGCCTGGAGTAGCGAGCGAGGAGAGGAGGCGGAGAGGACAAAACTGGGGTAGGTCAGTGCCAGTGCCTGAAAAGTTGTGAGAGAGGTGCGTGTGAGGTGAAGGCAGGCTAACCTGATTAACGTGAATGTGAAGATGACTATGAAAGGTTTCTGCGTTCGCGATCGCATCGTCTCAGACTAGCAAAGTCACAAAGGTGTGAATTGATTCGGTAGGTTTTCTCTATACTTCACTGCAAGAAGCATGATTGCAGTAGTAATACCCCGGTATAACAAGCGAATGATTTATTTGCTCTATATGTTGAGCTATGGAAGAAAAAATGGGCACAAAGGATTACCATCTAAAATGTTATGAAATGAAGCCGTTGCTGTGCGCGGAACACTTCAATAAAACACTATTATACTTGGTTAATTCTTAATCATGTCAGCTGAGGCTGAACTAGCGGAGCACAAGAAGAAGGCCTGAATAAGGAAGAATCGACACGAAAATTTGCGCCTTGTCAAGGTGATATAAGTACGCCCTGAAGTTCCTGCTTACCTACGAGTGCTGCTGCGCTCGTGCCCGGTAAGATGGCCGTCCAGAAGATCGTAAAACATCTACATTCAGTGTACCCAGCTGTGGTTTCAGTAACCATAAGGGCCATAATCCTGTCTAATTGGAGGGCCGCAGTACCCAATGAATGAGACCCCAGGGGGCTTAAAAAACAGAATTTGACGCACAAGAAAAAGCCGACTCGCTAAGAATTATTGGATGGCAAGCAAGACTATAAGTCACTGTGCACAGCATATGCTGTTGAAGATGATGGATGGCTAGACAGTGGGCGGCGGTATTTGGATTTCACCCGAGAGGGCCTTCAGAAGCTTACGAGCTTTTGATCAATGGCCTAAAGAGCGAATGAGAGAGCTAGGGTGGTCCGTATCTGCGAGCGAGAACTGAGAAAAGTTCTCGTACGACTCACTGTTTTTCGGGTCCTATTATGTGAAAAGTTTAAAATAGATAAGTGAAAACAAAGAAGCACAGGTGAATAAAGCAGTAGTAACTTGAAAGTGCTAAGTGTTTGGAAACCAAATCGATTGGAATTGAAAATGTGGGTAGGAAAAATGAAACAAAGAGACTTCCATCAAGAACCTGGAGAAAAGGTAAATGGGAGGAATTTGGGTAAGATCCATATTTGAAATTTTAATTCGAATTTCTCATATTGGTTCCCTTTCGGTTTGGATGGACCACTAAGGCACTTCCATCCTATTGGATCTTGATTTATCCTATTGGACACTTCCAAAGGCTTTCTTTCCATGGGTGCTGTTCAGCTCTTCGCTACCAGAGCCGGAGCAGGACTCGCTTAGAGATTATGAAGAATTTAATTGAGGTGCACTCAATCTGAGGCTTTGCAGGACAATTGCTTCCCAAAGCCGTCCGGTGGCTGCAAATGCAACGTCGATCTGGGGCATGGTGAAGAAGTCGTTGAATATTCGTCTGATGCACAATGCAAGAAGAGCATCGAAAGTACGAAAATCTTAGTATTTTTTACGAAATTGGCATCTTGAATTTTTCAAATATGTAATTTATTTGAGATTATCTCTAGTTTATTCTTAGTTGGGACTTGAAAGAACTCCAAGAAGGTAATCAAATCAAATGAAATGTGACTCTAGGACTACATTAGGTTCTTGCTACACTTGAAAATCATCCCAAAGAATTCGGGAACAACTCGATTTTTCAGGTCAGACAGCTGAACACAAAAAAGAGCTGAACGAGGAGATCAAGGATAAGTTCGGAGACTTTAAGGTTGGTAATTGAAGGCGTCGTCACAATGTTACAGTAGTCCCTAGGCCAGATTTAACACCATCAGCTAATCGAATCTGTGTGATATTTATTTGATGATGACTTTTGTTGAGAAGACAGTAGGGTTCGCTATTGCAGTACAATTTTTGCGTAGAATTAATTTCTGCATTTGAACCCCCATACAGTTTCTAATGGAGCTCGAGGCATGGTGCGAAGCAGAGAGTTTGATCGTATTTGCACGCTTATTCTGATTCTTACAGGGAAGGATGGTAGGTCGAAGTGGCCGTTCAAAATGAAATGTATACCTCCTGATGCGTCTCCAGACGCTGATTCCAAATCTGCCTTCCAAATCTGCTAAACGACTCTCCGAACGGAGTTATGAAGCGTAATAGCTCAGTGGTGATGGTCCGGGGTGGCAGGTAAAAGCTCGTAGGATCGGTTCCTTTGCAAATTGGTTGCTTTGCTTTTGTCTCTAGAAGTGTTGCGGACAAAAGCAAAGCAACAAACTTGCAAAGGAACCGATCCTACGAGCTTTTACCTGCCACCCCGGACCATCACCACTGAGCTATTACGCTTCATAACTCCGTTCGGAGAGTCGTTTAGCAGATTTGGAAGGCAGATTTGGAATCAGCGTCTAGGAGACGCATCAGGTGGTATACATCTCATTTTATACGGCCACTTCGACCTACCATCCTTTCCTTGTCAGTGGTAGTAGGCGGGCAAGTGAACAAGATTTCGATATTGTCAGTCGTGGCAAGAATTAGAGAGATAGCCATGTTTGTTTGCAGTGGAAAGGTGACACCTTTTTACCACTCAGTCTGTTGACCTCTACCCCGCCCTCAGTCATTGCTTTATTCCACAAAGATACCAAATCACTTGCTTCACGGCGAGAACTCAAGACCAAGCTAGTGGAGAAAACTGAATGCATTGTCATTGATGGGTTCGTTATGTCCCATAATTTTTGCCTAGGCACATATTAGTAAGCATGACGTCGTTAATGCTTTTGGCGCCTTCTCGCATCCTCTATCTACGTCTTCCACACGCATACTTGTTACAAATCTTTCATATATGGGTGGGATCTAAATGACAACAAAGTGGTAGAAGATACTGAATGCTTGACACTTTCTTGGGGAATTCCAAAGAGTTCTTACGAGTTGACTCTTCCGATCTTCTAATTTGCTTCCCTCCCCCATGGCGCAATTCAGAACATATGCCTGGAAAAACTGTACAAAATGTGACCTCTGATCCGAAACTGCTCGTAGAGAACCTACACTGCGTCCCATAATTATACGTCCACCTAAGAATTTCCCAAAATCTCAGAAATACAGATGTTACGAAAAAAGTCTCCTATGTGACAATGTATCGCATATAAATACGCAATTGCCTATGAACATCAATTTTCTATTTGAGATCACAGGAATTTTTCCCAATAATTTTTGTGTAAAAGGCCACTCAGCCGACGTCCCAAAATTATACGTCCACCTCACGTTTATCGATTACTTTTCACTTCTGTTCCACGAAACTTTTTCATTGTGGTAACACTTCACTTCTTAAGAGAACAGCATAATAAAGACTGCTGTTGGATTTTGAGAAAGGGAAAAATGTCGCAAAAACTGTTGAACAACGGAACCGCACCAGATTTGGTCCAGATTCACGCCAAGCTTGAGAATTTTTTCAGGGGTTTCACATGATATGGAGCTTAGAAGAGCTCTAAAAGTCTCTCATTACTTTTCGATGGAAACAAAGGCCGTGTTACAGAAATAACATCCATTTTCATCCAACGGTGCTCTGTCATCGAATCTTCTTGAGAACTTTATGCCTCAACAGACTTTTGTTTCATGCATGTAAAGGAATCCCAAGATCGTTCTTGATCGGAAAATGTGAAAGACGTTCATTTGTGGCAAGAATCGTGTGGAAAAACTGGGCTGATTTTTGCATGAAGGTGCAGCCGAGCCGACTGAAGTAAGGTTCGCTTCTGCCCGATATGTTTTGGCATTTGTTTGTTTCTTCTCACGTCTTACCTTTCCCTTAATGGCTTTTTTCTTAGAGGAGCACTACTAAAAGAAAGAAAATGTTGAAAAGAAAGACGGACAAACACTCATGCATAGCAAGGAAAAAAGGACCCTGCTCCAGTCGGCTCGGCTGCACCTTCATGCAAAAATCAGCCCAGTTTTCGTCACGATTCCTTGCCACAAATGAACGTCTTTCACATTTTCCGATCAAGAATGATCTTGGGATTCCTTTACATGCATGAAACAAAAGTCTGTTGAGGCATAAAGTTCTCAAGAAGATTCGATGACAGAGCACCGTTGGATGAAAATGGATGTTATTTCTGTAACACGGCCTTTGTTTCCATCGAAAAGTAATGAGAGACTTTTAGAGCTCTTCTAAGCTCCATATCATGTGAAACCCCTGAAAAAATTTCTCAAGCTTGGCGTGAATCTGGACCAAATCTGGTGCGGTTCCGTTGTTCAACAGTTTTTGCGACATTTTCCCTTTCTCAAAATCCAACAGCAGTCTTTATTATGCTGTTCTCTTAAGAAGTGAAGTGTTACCACAATGAAAAAGTTTCGTGGAACAGAAGTGAAAAGTAATCGATAAACGTGAGGTGGACGTATAATTTTGGGACGTCGGCTGAGTGGCCTTTTACACAAAAATTATTGGGAAAAATTCCTGTGATCTCAAATAGAAAATTGATGTTCATAGGCAATTGCGTATTTATATGCGATACATTGTCACATAGGAGACTTTTTTCGTAAACATCTGTATTTCTGAGATTTTGGGAAATTCTTAGGTGGACGTATAATTATGGGACGCAGTGTATATATCATCTATTTTCGAAGGCCACACATGGCTTTCGAAGGGCACTAGAACCTTCTGAAATAGCCCGTTCTAAGCTTAACGCCTTCTCTCCGTAGTCCTTTGGTTCCTATTCAGGGCAAATGTTTGTGAGGTGGATTAGCAGGCTGGCCTTACACGGGCCACGGTCCAGCGATATCAAATCTCCAATGGATCCCACCCCTTCTTACTTTCCATGTCTTTCTCCCGCCGGAAATGGGTTTAGTTTTGTACCAAAACTGTCGTTGAATGCATTTCAAATGCCATTTGGGATTTCTCTATGAACATAGAAAGCATAGGCGCACACAAAAGAGACTGATCAGTGGTGGATGTTTTATCATTTTATCCATTAACCCGTCCCATTAACAAAGAACTAGTCTTAGATCTCTAATCTTCCATTCATAGCAAGAAGTTTTCTCCAAAGGCTGAGCACAGCATTATGTTGCTATCAGGATTCAAGATCTATTCAAGGCGCCATTATCGCTAATCCCATGAGGCTGTCCGTCTATTGAGACTTTCTGCTGAGAACACCAAATATAGGAGGAAGAAAGTGAGGGCTGTATGAAACTAGCACAATTTGAAGGTCTTGTCCGTGTCCGTCTGGAGACAGAAAGCGATGATCAAAGGGAAGTTAGCTATTCGTTCCATTGGATCATTCCTTCTGATTCAGTAGCATTAGCCTGAAAGCGCGGTAACGGCCCTAGATGATTTTTCACGTTTTCTGCTGCTCTCAGCATCATGCCTACTCACAGAACGTATCCCTACACTAGTGGTATAACTTACCATCAATTTCAGGAGAACTGCTTCCCAAAACCATCAGGTGGATGCAAATGCAACGAGAAGGACGCTCAAGGAAACGAAGTAGTCACCGCCTATAACAACGCCGAGGAATGCAAAATCAGCGTAAGTTTCCGGTCATCCAGAACTTCGTGCTGTGAGAGTGCGCTTTTGAAGCACCATAAACAGACACGAAACCATCAGTTCGGATATTTAGATTTTTATGGTAATAGAGGTCATTCGGCAAAGTGGCATGCTTGTCTGTAGCCCCTAACCATAAGTCGCACTTTTCAGCGCGTCAAGCGTGACGTTGGTGTGGCCACTCAACGCCAGCCCTCGAGTGTTCATCAGACCCACCAAAAAGCCCGTGCTCGTGACCAACCCAGCCAGAACGTGCGCGACCCCATCAGGTGATCAATATATCGACTTACTGAGCTGTTCGCTTCAATTGAAGCTCTATGATTTTCAGAGAACGTGCCCAGGCCAACTATGCGGCAGTGCTTGATGAGCTGCACAACAAGTTCAAGGGACTCAAAGAGGGTTGCTTCCCACGACCCAAAGGTGGCTCTCACGAAATCGATATCAGTCGATTACGAACTCTCTGGAATGATTTCAATAAGCGATTTAGGATGCCTATGTGTGATCGGTAAGAACAGCTGAAGGACGGGATATCACCGAACGCCGTATGAAGGACGCTGACTGCAAATGTAAGGAAGGAGAACGAGGACACGGTTGTCCAGCCGCCTAAATCTTTGAATTTTCCTGGGAAAATTTTTCAAACTGAAATCTTTTTGTTGTTTATAATCTTCATGTAGTTCGTCATTGCTTTATTCGACTGATTTCGATTTTGATTCGATGTTTCCATGAGTTTCTTTGGAAAACTTACATTGATTGTTGCAGCTGAAATGCATTGATAAACTGTATGGCCGAAAATCGATATATTGATTGATGTTTTGTTGATGGCAGAGCTTTGTCGTGGGGGACAACACAACACGTGTCGGAGTGTTGTGTTTTCAATGAAAGTAGATATTGACTGATTCAATAGAGGGAACACTTCTTCCAACGGCTGGCTTACAGGAGAACAAATCAAATGGGCTTTTCACTAAGCATAAGAACAAAGCATTCAGCAGTTGTCATTCTGCATTCGTCTCCTCTTGGTATAGGCCATGCACTTTGTTTTCACTCAGAATCGTTGCGCCATTTTGAATGCTATTTGGTGGACACAGCGACTCACGGGGCCGCCAACAAGTAAGCCAGCGTTTCATCCTTCCCAGCAAGACCTTCGCTGGTCGATTATCTCCGTAAAGTCAAAAGAGTCAAGGAGCAAAACGAACAAGGTCTAAAGAGCGAATTGAATCCATTTTTAATTATTTCGTTTTATAATGATTTTCTTTCTTAATTGGTTACCTTCTGAGCGGTGTATGAGCTTGCCACTACACACTTTCGCTCTCCTATCCTTATAACCAAATTAATTGCTAGGCAGTGAGAACCTGTGGACTACGGCAGTCAGGCAACTTGTTTTCATGCTTAACAATGGAGAGCAGTGAGCAGTCAAAGGGAGAGCATGGAGCAGTTCATAGTCCAGCTGAAGTGTATACATGATAGCTAGAGATTCATGTCACAGAATCGCATAAGGCCACAACATATGTAGGTAGATTGGGAAAAGTTGGTTATCTGTGGTAAGCCCACCAGCTGGTTGTAAAAATGCCTTCTTCTCAGGCATTCAAATGTCACCGCGATTCCGAATGAAGGCGGAATGCGTGGTGCATTCCACCAAGGCACCGGCAGGCGATAGGGAGAGCAAATGAGCGACTGTTAGAAAATCAACGCGGTAGTGTAGGTGGCAAGGAACAATTCGACCTACAACGGTGCCGATAGTCGATGGTGTGAGGACAAATTTGGGATCTAGCTTTAAGCGATCCATTTGGAGATGAGCCAGGCGCTCGACTTTTTTCATAGTTTCACTGGCGTTTGAAAGTGTAAACTCCGCACTGACTTTTGGCTTAGAGTCACTCCACGTTCATTAATAAGGTTAAGGTCAAGGCTTGCATTCGGGCGAGTTTTCGAACGGGAGATTCTAGTGAACAATTCGACAGAATGGAAGCCAGTGGTGAGCTCAGCCAGTGGTGAGCTAGCCTGACAGTTAGTGAAGTAAGTCGTAGTGGCTACGCCGGTGTTCCACTTCACTCGGTCACTAAAGTGTAGCAGGGGTTAGAAATATGCAGAAAAGCAGACTTTACACTTGCAATCAGGAAAAGCCACCAATCTGGTCAGTCTTGTGCGTGTTCCATTACCTTCCTGGAAACAACCCGAAATTTTACATGGAGGTGGGATCTGATTGGCCTTGGTTTCGTTTTTTTTTCTTCTATTTTTGTATTCTGGCTGTCTGAATTATCTCATTCTTGTTTGCAGCTATAGGTCGGCGTCTCTAAACGTAGAAATTCGAAACTATCCATTTCTCTCGAATTTGCAGTTCTTATTGATCAATGTGGCAAAGATTTGAGAGCGATGTGGAATGCAGCTGGCGTTAAAAGCTGGTCATAAATCTCTCGATGGCACCAAGCGCTAGCAACGAGTCCACTCCTCTACGACTGCCGCTCTATGATGGCAAAAATACGAGAACTGAAGGGTAGTGATTTTTGGGATTTTCGGGATTCGACCGGATTATTTTTTATCTAGATCAGATTTTTGTTTCGGACTTTAGTTTCATTGTAACCTTAGAGTAAATCTGAATAAAACTGCCCATAGTGGCATTTTTCAGTACTACATACTACTGCATCGGTTTCAGTCTTCATTTGTTGCCCACAAGATCAAAGAAGATTGCAAATTATTTCGAGCTAC